AAGATCAGAAATCATATAAAACAACTGATAATATGTATTACCAGCTTAAAAACAGACATGAGTTTAACTAAATTCAGTTATCAATCCCAATGTAATATTAGCACATGCTCAGAAGGCTCCAAATCCCCATAGACATGGGTAGAAAGAGAACGAATACTCACAAAACACCTGCTATTTACTAGGTTTTTGTAAATACAACCCCCAAATTGATCCTTCAATTGCCAATAACCTAGAGTGACATGTTGACGTCATAACTTTGTTTGTATCAGGACTTCTCACCTCAGCAAGATAATTCTTCATTATGGGAGATTGTCTCGTGCATCATAGGATGTTTAGCAGCATCTCTGGCCTCCACCTACCAGTGTACTACCACCCCCAGTTGTGACAAACAAAAATGTCTCCAAAGATTGCCAAAAGTCCTCTTGGTGGAGGTAGGGATGGCAAAATCACCCTGGTGGAAAACCACTGGTTTACCCTCACAATATCCTATGATCGATGGTAAATTAGTACACTCTATCATCATTATTCACCAGCTTTGCTGGCTGTGTATTGTTTTCCCCCTTAACTTCCCCCATAAGGCCTTTTGTATGCTGCTCTATAACCATAAAACTGGAATACCTTTCCCGTTTCTCTNTCTAGCTCCCATCATCTTTGTACTGATTACTTTATTGCTTTTAAACTGGTCTCTGTTCCACACTTGCCCTCCATGACCCTCTCCTGCACAGTACCTGGTAAAATCCATCCTATGGCTTTTTGTAAGACCTAAAATAATATCTCAACTCCTTACCATCACTTGTATGGCTCTAAATGAGCTGGCCCCTTCTCACTTCTCTATCATCACCTACTAATCTCGGCTAGCTCCACTGTACTCTAAACACACCCGCCTCTTGGTCTTCCTTTCACAGCCAAGAGGGATCCCACCTTCAGGCCTTTGTGCTTGCTGTCCTTTCTGCCTGAAATGCTGTTCCCTCTGCTCTTCCCTAAGTTACCTTCTTCTTGTCATTCAAATCTGAACCTAACCCTTCCTTGACCATTCAGTTATTAATATTAACCTATTTTAATTATCTACACAGTACATATCATCTGTTTTTTTAAATGGTCTGCCTTCACTCCCACTAGAAGGCAAAGTTTCATGACAGCAGGGACTTGGCCTGTCTTGTGCATCAAATCTCTAGCGTCGAGGACGAACCTAGCGTATAGTAGGTGCTCAATAAATATTTGTTGAACTTAGTTAAAAGCGCAAAAACTTGTTGCCCAATCGCTGTCCCCAACTCTGCCTCTTAGCAACATCAATCTACCTGGGAACCACGGACTCCCCTGACAAGTGGCTTTCGTGAACTCTGCCACAGACTGCGACGAAAGACCCCGCTGGGATTGCAGGGCTATCAAGGGACTGAGTAATGAACTACCAGTCTCCCTCTAAACCACAAACAAGTGTGAACTACTCAAGGGGGCGGCGGCAGCGGATATCAGAATCGAAGAGATACGGTGTCCTCTGCGGTCACCCACCTGTCAGAGGAATCTGCGTCGTCAAACTGCCCGGGGACCACCCGGCTCATCAGCAGCCGCCGGTAGTCCATGACCGCAGCGCGCCGAGCCCTCACCGCCTGCTCTGCGCTGGGACGGGGAACGGCACACAGACGGTTTTACCCGGGGCCGATCCAACGGCCTCTCTGTGGATCGCCGCCTCGCAAACCGCTCAGAAGCCCACAGGCCCACAGCTGCCGCCACGTGCCGTAAAGTAGCTGGACCAACAGCTCCTGAACCGTTGGCCCCGAGCCGACCGGAAGCCCTGCCCCGCCGGAAGTCGACCCTGACCGGAAGTCCCACCCCTGTGCTGGGCTGCGCGTCCGGAGCTCGGCAGGACGGTGCGCGAGAGGGACAAACCGACGCGTCAGGGGCGGGTACAGAGTCGCCTAGTTAGGCTTGTGCTGGCATTTCGTTCTGGAGTGTTTCGTTTCTGCGCCCGGTTTGTGTTTCCCCTGCAGAAGGACACGCCTGTTCGGCCTGGGGGCTCACAGCCTCATAACTTCACTACTCTGGGAACAGAAACGCCGAAGTCACCGCGCCGCGCCCAGGGCGTTGGAACGGGCCCCGAGGGCGTCGCGGCCTTTCCCTGGCGAGATAGGCTGGTGCGGGCGGACGTCACACAGGGCCGTTCTAGTGCGCCGGAGCGTAGCCGCCAGGTTGTCAAAGCCCTCGGTGGACGAGGGTGAAGAGCGTCCTTCTCCCTCGCACGAAGGCCGGTGCGGAGGGAGGAAGCGCGAAAACCTCGTGCGGGTCCAGGAAACTGTGGCTCCTGGAAGTGAGCACACTTTTGCGTCTTAAAAAGTTTGGTGCGCTGTTTTGAGACAAAAATGAGGAAAAAAGTTAAAGTTTGTCATACGACTGGTAAAAATTTTTTAGAACAGAATTTTGCCAGTAATTCCCATGATGCCCCTGTTAAAGCCTATCTTAAAACAGCTTTAGGATGTTTCTGGAATATCCAAATATTTACATCAATTTTTAAAAAAATCGAACATGAATCTGGTTAAGGATAGAAATAAAAGAAAAAATAAGCCTAACTTAAAGATAAAAAATCCGCAGTGCCTTATAACGTATGAAAAATGTTGTTAACGTGTAATTGGAAGTTTTGGGTTCACAAACAAAAAAGTAAGAAATAAGGCCCTTGTGGGTTTTTTTTTTTTTTTTTTTTTTTGCATTTGGAAAAAAAAG